CGCCTCCCGCCCCCCCCCCCCCCCCCCCCCCAGCTTGTCTCCCTTTCCAATTCCACTTTAAAAAGATACTTTCTGTTTTCACGTCTTTACTCCTCAGCTCGTCCTCTGCACCCATTCTTGCCAGGACTGCCTACTGCTGAGCCAGGGGACAGCTCCGAACACCTTGCCTGTCCTTCGAGGGCCTGCCTGCCGCTCCTGCTGCCGCCAGAGCCTTCTCCGCGGCCTCGGTGCCGCCAGAGCTGCTCTTCCTACAGCAGCTCCCGCAGCACCCCCCCGCACCCGCCCTGACTCTTTGCATCCCCGGGTTGTGTGGGGGGGGGCTCCCCCTCAGCCTTCTAACCCGAAGGCTCATCACTCCAGCAGCAGCGTCCGTGGTGACTCAGGTGCCCGCCGCAGACCCACCTGAGCATGAACCAGTGTCCAGGCCGGGGCACATCTGCATGTGGCAGCGTTTCCCGGCCATTTACCTGCAGCCGAGTAACAAGGGATCACCCCTGTTTGGTCTCTCAAGCCAGATGCGAGCGGTCTGGGGTTCATCCTTCTTATCCCCCCATCATTCTTCCTGTGTCTCAGAGCCTCCAGGGCCGCTCTGTGGGGTGAGGTTGCGGGCGGGCTGCGGCAGGCCTGCCCGTCTCACCCAGGTTCCCCCTTCATTGTATCCTCGTCTGTATGCACTGCACTGAGCACACTGCTCTGAGTTACTGAGGTGGCGGCCTGTCTGCCTGTCCTTGGCACGAGTGGACAGCTGGGATGTGGGCGACTGAACATGACGGGAAAAGGAAAGACTGAAAGGGCTTGGTGAGGCCAGCCAGCTCTGCCTTCAGACTTGAACCAACTGAAGATGTTTGTCCACAGTGAGGTTCCTTCCCAGAGCCCGCAGGTGACTGAGGGCCTGCGTTGTTGGTTGTGGTGTTTGCTTTGTAAACGGAGTCCCTCCTCCCACTCTCAGGGCCCAGGAGATTCTGCAGCCAGGGCTCCTCGGTACCCAGTCAGGCTTTTGGAAATTTACTATTTAAAAAGAAAAGAGAAAGCAAACTGGCTTTCAGTCACGGGACATGGCGGGGCTTGGGGATTCCCTGAGGACGCCGGCTGGGCCCTGGTCTGTGGCCGCACGGACCTGGGAGCGAGCTCACCGGAGCCGCCAGCAGGTGGTCGGTTCTGCTCAGTGTGACTCGTCCCCGAAGTTCGAGGGCAGCTTCGCCGGCATCGGAAAGGGTTAAAGCTGCTGCTGGACAAAGTCCCTCTCACAGTCCACAGCCTCCCTGTTCACCAGGATCGCCACCGCCTCCGCTGGGGCTGGTGTGTGGGGGTCCTGCCCTTCGCCCCTGTCTACCCCAAGCCTGGCTGCAGTCCGGCCATTCCGACGTGGGGCTCACGGGGGTGGGGTGGGGGGGGTGGTGCTGTTCCCCCTTCCTTTCTGGGTCCCAGCGGCCCAGACCGCGCACAGCACAGCGAGTGGAGGTCAGCGCAGCCTTTATTTCAGAATCGGCAACGACTGGACTTGGTGTG